CTATTAAGATCTGAAGTGATTTTTTAATAATGCCTTTGTGCAGATTCCTTGGCCATTTCCAGCCCCAGCCTGGTAAACCTGCACTTTGGGAGTTGGGTTCAGATCAGCTTTACAGGGGAAGAAATGGGCAAACAATTGTGGATGAAGATGGAAGGTATCTTTCAAAAGAAAATTTTGAACTTTATTGACTGGGCATAAAGTTGTAACTAGAAATATCCTCCATTCTTTGTTCCTTGGGAACCACATCTATATCAATATGCTTCTTGTAGTTTCTAGATTTGAATGCTCAACTTTCTCATTAATCAGGAAATTTTTGTTATATGGACTTGAACTGAGTTTTGACAGTAAGCCGGTACGAGCAGCCCATTGAACTTGTGAGCATGCACAGCCAAACAGTGATGTGGTACCTCTAGTATAGATGTTTCATCATTAACTTTGTGGTCTTGGGGAATGGAGATGGGTCAAGTTTGAATTTTTTTTTTCCTGAAGGAATCTTTTCTTCATTAAAGCCTCTGTATTGGATCTTTGTGGAATAGATTGGTTAGACTTGCTGTTGTGTTTAATTGGTTTTACATTCCTACTAATGTTTCTCATTAAAGTTTTAATTTGTCAAAACAAATGGAGTTCGTGGCACTTAGAGTTTGATGGTACTCTTGTCTGCAGCATGACTCAGTGTCGCTCGGGTTATCAATTTTGGCAAAAAAAGTCTTATGATTCTTGTTCATAGTTTTACATTGTTGATCTGACGTAATGAATTAATAGGTGATATGTGGATATGGTGCTTAAATATCAACATTTGATTTGGATTTAGTTTTCTTCTTTATTTTGGTTTTTGATTTTATATTTAGTCATTTGATTATATTTGCTTACGCTTTTTTTATCTTGTCTCTTGGGAAGAGGATTTTGCTGCTGCTTATCTCTTCGATATCTTATCCTTAATTTTCAGGTCACCTTTCAAAAGATCCTTTTCTGATGGAAACATTCTTCGTCAAACGGGGTCACCTATGTCAGCCACGAATGACAAGCAAGAGAAATTTACCAATTCAACTTTGCCTGACCGATCACAGGGAGGAAGTAATGGCCTTTCGGATTCATCACCTGAGATATCAACTTGTGAAAGTGATATATCATATTCAAGGTTCTTTGCTTTCCATTCTCATTGTTGCATGTCCTTCCCTACTTGCTGTGTCATCTGTTTCTAATTGATGGCACATCTATTTATTCTCCATAAAATGTTGACAGATGAGATGGAATCTGCAGTTTCATTCGTATTGATCTTTTAATCTTTATTATCTACATGTTTGGCCAAGCTACTGTTTTGTATCAATGCTTTCATAAATTTAATTTTTGTTTAAATATTGCTGCATGTATCAGCTGTTGGAACCATATGTTTCACGGTTTAACATAATTAATGGATCTGATGTAGCATATTACATTTATCATCATCTCATTAAATATCTTGATAAGGCTATCTTCAAATTCTTTGTAAAGGTATACGCCCTCAATGCCTCGAAGGCAGCTGTTTGGAGACATGCAAAGAGATCACTGTCTTGAAACTGATCACATTTTCTTCTCTGAACATGGGGATGCATTCAATTGCTCTAACTTTGTTGACCTAGACTGGCTTTCATCATCTGGAAATTCGTGTGAGGATGAACCATTTGAGAGGTAATTTCTTGTTTACTGTATTTCATGGATGTTCTAAAGCTCAACCTTGAAGGCTGCATTAACATGAGATGGTCACATAACAAATGCATACACTTTTAGCTATATGGTATTTTCTGTTTTTACACTTGTCTGTCAAGTGCTTGTCTCATGTACTGTAGGTTAAAAGTGCTACTAACTTAAAAAATGAAGTTATTTATGTTATTATTTGGAATTGAACCTGCCCTTCCCAAATCCCATAACATAGTTGTCATTGAAGATAGGGCTCAGTAACAATCTCTTGATGTACTAAGAAAAGTATCTTGAAATAGTAGTGCAATAACCCCCAACAAGGTTGTACACAGAAAGGGTGCTGCTCTTTCACAACTTGTTCTATAAGGTTGTACATGGAAGGTAAGGATAGAAATTCTGCATTTTGAGAGTAATGAGCTGGTTTTCTCGACTTCTTTTAATCTCTATAGGGTCATGGGATAAATTGCATAAATAATAAATGAGAGTAAAAAAACGATTCAGTCATTGTCGTAGTTATCTGCAGATCATCAGTCCTTACAAGCTCTCCAGCTGGTGGACTTTCATCGGAGAATGTTGTCAATGGAATTTTGGGAGAAACAACCCCATCCTCAAGCGAATATGGATCGAGTATGAAGGTTGGTACTTGTAGTGCTGGTAGAAAGTTCTTGTGATCTTACTTTTATGGTTATATTTTAGTATAAACTATATATAGATCTTATCATTGAAAAAAACACACTATACATAGATCAAAGTTTTGTTATCAACTCAATCTAACTATAATAGTTTTACATCTGATGCTGCTGAGACTGTCTATCTCCTTTAGTGCTTACTGATTCTTTAATAAAACTCCAAACAAAATTTTATTCTTTCCTGAAGAGTAAGTTGGTGCTTGCATTCTATTTACCATTTATTTAGTATATCATAATATGATGTTCAGAAATTAGAAAGCAATCAATGGTGGAAAAGACTGAGAAAAACATGTTAGATGTGGTAGAAAAATATTTTATTCACAACGGATAACTCTGAAAACTAGAAAGTGCAGCTATGAGTTTGCCCCATGTGCAAGGTAATGGCTAACCCTTCTTGTATATTTATGTAGGGAAGGCAGCAGACGGGAACCGAGCTATCCTTTGCTAATTCGCAGAATTCCAATGTCCTTGAGGAATTCCCTGATAGTTTTGTGCAGTGGGTAAACTATGGAGAGATGCTTTGCCATTAAAGTTTTGCTTGTTTTCCTCACTTTGATGGCATATATGCCCATGGCTCCATCGATTCAATCTGCTGAAACTGATGCAATCCATCAACTAGGCCAATCTAGGTAGCAAAAAATCAGGGGGGAGGCGGAAGAAGCATTTGTACTGGCACTCTTATGTAAGACATCATACAAGCAGTCGTTTTTGGCCCTCATGTATGACTACGGCATTGATTCCTTCTTGAAAAGGCCTCAACCAGAAACTGATGCTCGTACAAAAGAGTAAATAGTCAACAATTTTTTTTAAAAAAATTATTCTTTTTTCTGTAGCTCATCCTTTTTTCTAATTCCTTCATCGGACGTCGTAGGTTTCAGTCTTGTAAATATTTTCTTCCTCTGCTTTTCTAAGAGCTCCACTTCTAGGATTTCAAGTCATTGATTCTTTTATTTCCTTTCAAGTTTATCCAGACGTTGCAGTTTAAAAGTATTTGGAGGAATGACCAGTGTTGGGACTCATGTTCCCTTTATTTTTCAGCCTCCTGGGCTTTGTTTTCCAAGCCGTATTTTATTTTGTTTTTTATTTTATTTTTTAAACTTTCTTTTTCTTTTTTAATTTTATAAACAAGCCTTGTTTCAATAGTGGGGTTTTCTTCTTTGGTCTATCATAAGTAGCGTAAAACCTTCTAGGCAGTGGCTTAGCCTCAATTACTTAATGGTTGCCAGCTTATTTTAAAGATCGTATCATCCATTTTCCATTATTTAATGCTCTGGAGAGTAGATTTTCCCAGTTGATGCGTCTATAGTATATATTTTTTTGAAAGGTATTGATGCTTCTATATAACATTTAATGTTAGCACGAATTGTTAACTTGCCTCTTTTTCCAGCACATTCCTTCAACACAACTGTTACTTACTAATTTTGAACAAAAAGTATTGGCCCAACATATGACAACTCTAAGGAATGAAATACTCTTCTAGTCTTTTTCCAAATTAATTACCAATTCGAGTTGGACTCCTATTTGGATGCGATTTTCACACTGTTCAATATACAATCTCTTCATTCTCAGTTATTCAATTTGTGAACAAGTTTCCATCTTTCCAAGTATTATTTCTTTTCAACATTGCATTGAAACAGAACACCGATCCAATATAGAAGAAGACAAGACTAGCTTATCGAAACAAAGGTGGGTTCCTGGTTATTGTTCTAGACTTAATGGCCCACAAAGCTAGATAGATCAGCTGAGTGGAGTTAAACTTTCTGGTGCCTGCCCGGGTGGCCCAGGGTCATTCTTTTGGCTACGCTGGTTCAAGGTTGTATCTTTCAGGGCAAGGAGCCGGCACCCGTGAGCTGCAAAAGTACAAGTGGAGTAACTATTTGATTCTGTAGTCATGTGAAGACTCAACTTACAATAGCCAGTCATTTTTATGATGACTTTATTAAGGATCTGCGCTTTTTGTCGAATTGTCTATTGATAAGACCAGACCGAAAAGATTTAAAAAGCACAGAAAAGAGAAGGAAAGGAAGGTCTTTTTCCAGCTTTGGTTTTTTTTTTTTTTGAATTTATCTTTATTTTCCTACAATAAATGACAAAAAATCATTAGGTTAGGGGCGTTCCGAGAATCGAACTCGGGACCTCT